TTTTTTTTTTTGGGGAATTTTTTTTTTGTTGGGGAAAGGGGGGGGGGGTTGTGTGTGTGTGGGTTTTTTTTTTAAAAAAGAAATTTTTGTTTGGTGGTGTTGAAGGGAATTTTTTGAGAGGGATGGGGGGGTTTTTTTTTGTGCGGGAAAGTTTTTTTCGGGGGTTATGCGGGGGGGGGGGGGGGGGGGGGGGGTGCTCAGCCAAAACTGGGTGTCGTTGAAACAACGGGAGAAAGTTGCATGACCTTGCCACTGTGACGCTTAGCCTATTGCCAGCCCTTTGAGTTCCGAGGCTCTTCGTTTTTTGTCGCTTTTTTACGGGTCGTTGCTGCTTGTTTCTGTTGTTGTGAAAGTTTACAGGTGCCTTGTGTTTGAAACACGTTGAACAGTGAATGAAGGGTCAGAATGTTTTCGTTTTACTTGGTTGCTTCCTCCTCATGAAAGGTAACCAGGAGTCAGCATCTGGCGGCCACTGTTGTTTTTGTCCCGTGTCTTTTCGCTTGCTGGATTAATTTTTGGGCCTTGTTGCTTTCATCGATCGGCGCTCTTCAAATCTGCGTCTGTAGCCTAATGTTCTTCGTTTTACTCTACTCTATCTCGGTGGTTGCTGCCGCGCTGTCTGTCGCTGTAGCTTTTGTGGACGAACAATGTTGGTTCCCCCCCCACGCCTTTTAAAGCTGCCACGTCCACGGCTTTGGATGTCGTCCTACAGGGGGGAGGCGGGGGCAGTCTGCTGGTCTTCTACTGGCGGGTATGGCAAGGGGGTGGGGGAGGGGGGGGGTGGGGGTTCTTGGGCTGACGGTCATACAAGTGTAAGCACTCCACATTCGGTGCTGCACAGACCGTGGTGGGGCGTGCGTTTAGAGACAACGATTGCCCCGCTTGTCCGGTCCTTAGTAGAGATGGCGCCTGCAAGAGGTGAAACATTTTTGTTGTTGGAGAAAAGCTTGGGTAGCGTGCTTTGCTTGCTGCTTTGGGCTGGGTTGATTGAGTATCATCCAATCGAGAAAGTCGCCGCTGTTCGGCTGTTCCTAACGCCTGCCAGTGAGATACCCAATCATCCGGTTGGGTTTGTTCGGATGTCGCTCCCCCACCCGGTCCCCGCGCCGCCCTGAGCGATAGGTCCAGTAGCTGGCTGGTTGTTGCTGATTCTCTTCGTCTTGCTGGACTGACTCCCTTCGATTTTGACACCACGTTGAGCCTATTCAAGATTTTTTTCGATTCCAGCAATGTTTCAATCTTGTAGTCGTTATCATTATTTTAGTTGTTTCGTTTTCTGTGGGGGTGGGACGGACGGGGGGGGGCTCTTGAGTTTGGTGGGCTTTTTTTTCTTTCGTGAATTGCGTCAAAAACACCGTTACGCTGATCGTACGGTATTCTAGTCTACATCTCAACCGGTAGGTTGTGCTCGATTTCGATCCTTTTATATGCGGGTCTGTGGTGGAACGGATTGCACACAAGAGCGCACGTCTGGTCCTAGTTTGTTGGCCATTTTGATCCCGTGACACACCCCTCACTCTCCCCCCCCCCCCCC